TGCCCGAAGACATTCACACCCACGAAATTGTGCCACTGTGGCATTAGCTCTCTCTCTCTCTCTCTCTCTCTCTCTCTCTCTCTCTCTCTCTCTCTCTCTCTCTCTCTCTCTCTCTCTCTCTCTCTCTCTCTCTCTCTCTCTCTCTCTCTCTCTCTCTCTCTCTCTCTCTCTCTCTCTCTCTCTCTCTCTCTCTCTCTCTCTCTCTCTCTCTCTCTCTCTCTCTCTCTCTCTCTCTCTCTCTCTCTCTCTCTCTCTCTCTCTCTCTCTCTCTCTCTCTTCATTGCCTGAAGGCATTCGCACCCTTCACACTTCTGAGCCGCACTGGGGCTCTCTTACACTTCACTGACAAGGACAAAGTAAGAATAGGATACCAGATATCCGGTAATCGGCTACACAACTATTTCACACTTTTCGGTGTTTGTCTCCTTCATGCTCTTTACTCCTTATTCATGCTTCCGCAGGTACCCTTGTCTCATTCATGCTCGTATTCATTATTCATGCTTCCGCAGGTACCCTTGTCTCATTCATGCTCGTTATTCCTTATTCATGCTTTCGTAGGTACCCATAATATACCTTATAATGGTTTCTGTTTTTCATGTCCATGGATCATAGTGATGTTTCATCACTGGTTTAGCGGCAAAGCACCGAGAATTATGAGTAAATACATCCCTTGCACACAAATCGCATGACCCACCAGGCCCCTACATTATACTCATCCGCTTGTAAGAAGCTCGTTGCATGGTCTGACCACTCATTCAATGCAAAATGAATACCTTAAGCCCAAAACAGACATTGTTTATCATCATGTACACTTGCCTTATGGATAATTCAGCCCAGGTGGTATCGGAGGGGATTTATATGCCCTCGGCACAGGTGTGGCTGTAAAGCATCTCACTTGTCAGATTGCCGCTGTGGGCGATTCCAGCTTTTTCTTGGTGGCTGCCAAGAACTCGGCTAGCCTCCTCTGCTGCAATACCGCTACTGAGAATAGGAGGCAGCCACATCAAATCCATCCACTTCCGCGCCACTCAAGTATTGCAGCATCTCTGCCATCATGGTTTGATCATTCTACACGGCCTCCAGACTTAGATTGACGCCGGCTCTCACACTACACCCGAACATCTTGCTGCTTGTGCAGAAGTTGCTTGCTGAGCGGTCGGGGTGTTGCCGCTACTTACTGGAACCCCGGAATTTTTTGTGAAAATCTCTCCACTCATTCACGCGGCCAAAGAGCCCATGCAGGGGCAGCACTGTGAGGTACGTCCATTATTACCGTGATGTGAGATAACTCGCTGGCTAGTTGCAGCTGGCAACATGCGCAACTGAATGCAGTACGCGACATACGGGTACCGACCGACCGACCGACAAAGCTGGCATATACGGATGACCACCAGCAGGAAAATTAGTGGCTGACTGGCTGTGAAGGGCGAATATGGGTGCCCAGCAACATACTGCGTTGTGAACAATGTACGAGTGATTACTTATACATGGTCGATGGTTTTACATGTTGACTGACAAACAGCAACATTCACCAGGCCTGCAGCAGATGCCACAATGGTTGGCTGACCAGTTGCACTGGACGAATCATTTGGCAGATTCTCTGCAGATAATACTGTATGTGACGGACTAGAAGTAGTAGCAATGGCCAAATTTGGCATATTCGCAGCAGATGACACTGGATTTGGCTGATAAGACGCAGCAACAAAGTTGGCTGGACAGCATCAATGGACAAACTTGGCAGCCCCGCTGTAGATCACACTATATTTGGATGAACACCCGCAGCAGGCCGGCCGTACGTAACAATGACATGCTTGGCCGGCAGTTGACGTCCAGGAATCTGGCTGTTCAGCAGAAGAGGTAAAAACGGCCGAAGCTGAAGAAAAACTAACCTGCCTACCCCGGCAGGGTGAATATTTGACTTGCCAACATAAAACAGCCAAGAAATCGTTCAATCGCGTCTTCCTTCTGACCACCAGCATCGATTTTCTTTCCTGCTGTAAAGCTACAGTTGAAGCCCTGTTCTCGTCGAAAGAGCACTCTTCCATGATCATGTTAGACCCAAAATGTCATAGAACTCCAAAATACAAACTGCACCAACGAAAAGCCACTGCGAAGTGACAGGAATGCGGTCCGGCACAACATTTTTGCTGACGCAAAAAGTTGTGGGGAAATCCCAAAATCGGGGTGCGATTTTGCATGAGCCCAAATGTTCAAGTTACCCACAAAGACACAAGCTTTCCAACTCTCTTTGGCCGTTGGAAAGCGTACCATCTCACATCTGTGCAATTGTTGATTTTGCTCCTGAATTGTCCTCCCTGTTGCTTTGCTACCATCCTCCTCCTTCCTCCACCTTTTTTTCTTGCCTCATTATGGCATTCGCTTCCATGTAATTGGGCTTGTAGCCCGTGTGTACTTGCGAATTCAAATAAAAAATACATACATACATACATGTACCAGTACATGTATTACCGTACTATAATGCGATGCTTTAGAGCCAGGACACAAGGACAGTACAGTCATAATCATTATTAGATTAGGAGTTCGCGCGCGCGCGTGTGTGTCATTACATGTGTATGCCGAACCCAGCAACGCGACGGAACTCAGTACGCCAGAAATAGTGTAGTCATAGACAGTGTTCATTGTGGCAGTGTGGGTTGCGGGAAAAGAAGAGTATATATTTGGCTTTCATGCGCCACACAGACCACTTATTCACTCTGTGTTCCCATCACACAATCTGAGAGGAATAGTGCATTCTACATTTTGACAAAGAACATGGGTATTGTCGTTGGAATTGCTGCTGAAGGAGCCATTGAAGCAGCCGTTGAGGCAGCAGCTGAGGCGGCTGCTGAGGTCAGAGAGGAGTGAACTGCAGATACATATATTGTGGATGCAACGGTACACGAAGAATATGGACTTAGTATGATATCTTTTGTCTAAGCTAATTATGTGGTATCGCTCAAACAAGTATGATGTCCGCGTGAATGTGTCATGCTCAAATATGCATCTAAGTGCTCTCTTACTTATGCGTAGCAGCTGATCTCTCACTTTGTCAGCGAGGCAGTGGACGTAGGCAGTGCTGGCGTACTCGAGCTTGCTCTGGACTACTGACAAGTAGAACTGCCTTCTGGCCTGGAAAGCAAGGTTCCTCCTTCCACGTCGAAAAGCACCTAGTTTCTTTCCGATGTCTTTCCTGAGGGAGTTAACGTGGGCACTGAAACTTAAAGTTGAATCGAGAGTCAGTCCTAGATACTTAACTTCGTCAGACGGGGCAATAACAGTCGAACCACAGACAATGCTCAGGTTAGGTGGAGGATGTGAGCGTCTGCTGTGGATCAGTAGTACTTGGCTCTTGCTGGAGTTCAGGAGCAGGCCGCGATCTGTGAGGTGCTGCTTCACCACTGAAAAATCCTCTTATAAGTAAGACATGAGAATTCGTAGACACTTTCCAGAGGCATACAGGGTGGTGTCGTCTGCATAAAGAAGGCATTGGGAACGCAATGGCAGAGTGGGGACAAGTCGAGTGTAGATGCCGAAGAGGGTAGGGCCTAGGACGGAGCCCTGGGGAACGCCCCTAGTGCAGGTGCTACAGTCACTTGTGGTTCCGTTCACTTCTACGCGTTGCTGTTGGTGAGACAGATACGACTTGAACCACTCAAGAGCATTTCCACGGATCTCCAGATTGTGAAGGTCATCTATCAGCGTTTGGTGGTGGACGTGGTCAAAGGCTTTGCTCATATCGAGCAGCAGTACGCCGTATAGTCTCCGGTATCCATGCTTCTCTGCCAGTTATTGATGGCAAGTGTTAAAAAGGTCCTCAGTACTGTGGTTCCGCCTGTATGCAAACTGTTCATTTGGAATTGCTCCGGGCGTGATCTCCAGATGGTCGTGAAGCTGCTGGAGCACTAGCGATTCCAAGACTTTGAAGATAATGGGCAGAAGCGAGACTGGGCGATAGTTGGAACTGTCGTAGGGGTCGCCTTTCTTAAACACTGGACACACAAACGCTGGTTTGTAGGCTGACGGTACCTTTTCGCTAGACAATGACTGGTTGAAAATGGAAGTTTAGGAATTGGCCAGCTCGGCGACATGGTGTTTCAAGATGTAAGCTGGTATGCCGTCTGATCCAGATGCTTTCGTGGTATTCAATCGTTCGAGAATCTTCGTTACTGCTGCTGTTGTAACAGGTTGGAACTCGAGAAGGCTGTTGTCTAAACAGTCGTCCGCCGGAGTGTCTGGGGTCGTAAGAGCAGCGCGGTGTTCATCATGGACGATATTGCCTAGGGTAACTGACAAAGATGAGAGGGAGGCTTTCGGTGTGGGGTGGGATTTTCTCCTTCCAGTTAGTTGATTCAGCACTGCCCATTGGAGTCTAGGATTTCCTGTAGCGGCACTGAACTTATCTTTGTAGTACACACTTTTCAGTTTGCGGTTTAGTAAAGTTCCTTGACGACGTATTGCACGATGCTGCTGTCGGAGGCGGTCATCCATGGGGTGCTTTATTAAGGCGCGATGGGCTGAACTTCGTCGATGAAACATCTGTTTCAGCTCTGGGTTGACCCAGGGCTGGGGGTGGGGTTTGGAGTAAGCTGCGCGCTTCTGGGTAATGAATGGTGCAAGATCATCTAGTACTGTCATGACACTTTGTTGCCAGTGGCTTGCCGCTGCATTTAGAGTATAACCGCCGGATACATTTTTTTTGCAAAATACACAACTCACCGGCAGGCACATGGGGCTAGCATGGGGTGAGATGGTGCTGGTGGGGCTTACCATGCTCAACCGACCAGAGGTCTCGGCATCTTCACATGGCAGGCGCACAAAATTTGGGAGGGAAGCATATGCATGAGGGGAAAAAAGCACGGGAGAAAATGGAAGATTTAGAACGAAGGAGAGGATCTAATTTTGGAACACAGCAGAAAATAGCGAATAACCAAACAGATAATAGGAGTGAAAGGAGAGTGTCAAATGAAGGGTGCAATAGGGTAGCAGTGGAGATTGGCTACTCAGGATTGGCGACAGTTAGGCTTGGGGTGGGAGAAGCAGGAGCATAATCCCGGAGGCGGAGGAGTGTAGAGGCGGTCGGTTGCCCAGTCCCAGTCAGACTGCCTCAGGTGGTCATAGACCTTCTTCTTGAAGGTCTGCATCGACTTCTGGGAGGGGCCAGCACTGAGGATAGAGGCTGGGAGACAATTCCAGGTGTCAATCATACAGTGGGGGAAGGACCGAAGGACATTGTTCCGAGACTGAGGTGGGACAGTCTTGGTCAGCTGGAGCGGATGGTGGCTCGCAATTGTGCGCACGCTGGCTCGGGTGCGGGCCCGGACTGGGGCTGGAGCTGGCGGGGGTAGGAGGGCTGTGATTATGTCAGGGCCAGTCAGATAGTGGAGCTTGAACAGGTAGCAGAGGGCAGCAACAGAGCGACGGATGTCCAGGCTGGGCAGGTAGCAGCCATCACCAATGACGTGGAGTGCCCTACGTTGGATGGCTGTGAGCTTGGCTAGTGTGGAGGGTACTGCGCTCATCCATACCAGCATCCCATACTCCAGGATCGGCCGAACAAACCCACGGTATACTACGGCACGGCATCGTGGGTTGAGAGCCATGGCAGCCTTGCGGAAGAAGCCGAGTCGCTGCGCACCGCGTATTACGAGGGACCGTATGTGCTGCTTGAAGCATAACTGGCTGTCAAACGTTACTCCTAACAGGCGGAGCTGATCCACCTCAGGTACGTCTGTCCCCTGGAATGTGATATAGGGAACTGGGTGGTGGGATCGTCGGTGGGTGATCGTGAGGGCTTGTGACTTTGTCGGCTCAAACCTGATTCGCCAGAGGGTGCCCCAGTCGGCAAGTGAGTCAACAGCCTGCTGGAGCGTTGCGACTCCATCTGGGATATTGGCTCAGGTTGTGATACACTTATATACCGTGGTGTCGTCGGCATATTTATTTTATTTTTTTATTTATTATTCTCGTATCCGTCCCGAATGGGACTCACGACGGCAGAATTAACTGTGAGCATGTGTGTGAGAGTGGGAGAACGAAATGTAAAAGAAAAGAAAAGAAGAGTCTTGTAATAAAGGTCAAATTTAAGAAGAGCAGTACTAGACTAAATGGCTGAGCAGATGTTACTCCATTGTTTTCTGTCGCGGGCATAGGTGCCGAGATGACGAAGCCAGCTGGGCTTAAGGGGGCAGCCTACCCATACATTTCATATGGCATTCAATTGACCGTAACTTTGGTGTTTCTCAATGGATTTGAGTGAAATTTTGACCACACACTCCTGCCACTATGCTGGCCCTCAGGACATGATTTACAAGTTCTTGCGCCTCACTGACAGGCTTTCCAGGCCGGAAAAACTCAAATTTCCGGCATAGTGCCACGGTGTGCGAGCCACCCAGGAGCCAAACAAATGCATTTACAATTTTTTCACATTTTCGTGCTCATTCTGTTCGTGCGCGGGACCCAAACCTAGAACAAGTCCAGAAGCAGCCATGGGTGATGGGGTAGGGCCCCTCAACGAGGCCCTGGAATCTGTCACAACGGAACGAGTGGGCGTTCTCTCACACACTCCCACAGACCCAAGTCAATTTTTGAATTTTTTTAGGTTTAGGGTGTGCTACGAGGTCGTACCTTTGATACAACATCCAGTGCTGGGACCTCCACAGCAAGCCATTTCCACAGCGCTGCACACCAAATCCAGGATACCCTCAGAAACCGGCAAAGACTACCACTCACGTTTCACTACTGCCTAGTACTGAATCCTACCTGACTTCTTGACGCGACTCAAACTTGCCAAAGTCACTAAATCAACGTCAACCACATATCTGCAACGTCACGAGGGTGCTGGCAAAAGTCCTGCTGCACGGCGGCGGGCGAAGCCCGCCGCCGTGCAGCCCAATACGTGGCTCAAAAACCTGATTTTTTGGACTTGGAGCAAAATTCTGCACACTTTCACGTGTTTCCATGATACGACAAGTTGCGCACGGTCTGCTCACATTCAAATACAGTGCTGCCAACAAATGACAGCGTGCAACAAAAAAATCTTTCCTTGCAAGGGCAAATTTTCGGCCATAACTCTTGAACGGCCGGTCAGATCGGGACACAATTTTCAGAGAATTTGCAGCTATTCATGCTCTTTCAACTGACGTACTGAAGTAGCACTCAATATGAATTTACAAATTCGATTTTTCAGCGAATTTTTGGGTAGTCTGCCACCTTAAGCTAAAGAGTAATCGATAGGTGTTTCAGCCCTACTATGAAGTATACGAGGGAGGGGGGGGGGGGGGGTTGCTGGACATCATAATGCATAAACTTTCTGAGTCCTACATACATGTACCATAATTATTATTAATTTTATGTCATGTACAGTCACGTAGATCTACATTAGCAATGCGTTAATTAGCTGCACACAATGTACTTCGATATACATCATTACATGTACAGTGTACAGTACTGTCTTGATATAGTCCAAAACTGGTAAACCAGTATTAGATAAACCTTGTTGTAGTTCACGCAATGGTTAGATTGACAGCATGAAACAACATGGGCAGAAGTTGGAAATAAAAATAAAAAGAAGTTTTTATACAAGTTCAAAAAGAGCGAAGGCAACAAGACAACATCAGAAGTAGTCTCCTAACCCCCTACAGTGTAGCATAACGAGGGTCAGAACCGGGTGTGATACCCATATGGTTCAAATGGTCCGCAGGGACCGGGGCTCTGCCAACCGCGGACGGTTGTAGTAAGGTCACTGTTTTCGAACACAGTGTCCTCCACCTTGTTTCATGTCAATCTAACAATTGCATGTACAGTACATGTACATGTACATGTAGCTCTCGGGTCAAGATTCTGCCCATACATTCACACATCACATCATTTACAGACTCAGTGCAGCTCAAAGTAATCCAAAAAAGCAGCGTATAAAACTCGGATGGAGAGCCAAGGATTATTTTATAGTAAAGAAAAGGACCAAAGAACTACAAGCCACGCTATAATGTCCACTGACACCACCAGTTACTAAACAATCAGCTCAAGCGAAAACGTTGCATGATACTGACCGACGGTACTGACGTTCTACAACTAACTGGCATATCAGCTCTAGCACTTCTTGGATGCGCACTCCAACAGCCTTCCAACTAGGGTCCAGCGGATAATGCTCCGAAAATGTTCGTATAATGCTGCTCATAATGCTCCAAAAGCTACCTTATCTCTTAATTTGCTGGCAAAAAGTCCTATATATAGGATTTGAAAATGCGTGACCTTTATGCCGTTGTTATTGGTCATCATGAGTCATTCATGACCCATAATTATGAGCATAATGGTTTGAACAATCGACGAGGAGACAATAGTCGTAAAATGGCAATAAATAAGATAAATTGTGCACTCATAACAACAGCAAAATGAAGAAAGTCAAGTTCCATAACGTTTTCTTATGACTGTCATCAGTGGAACGCCGTCACATAAAAATGTAATAACTAAAACACACACTTATATATTTGTAGCTAATATGGTTTCAGGTAGAAATACAGCAGCTAACAAGTACAAAAAGCGAAGTTTGCACCTTTGCAATGTGTGAATATAGTGTATGTGAGAAAGGTAGTGGCAGATGAATGTGATACTGTGTGAATGAATGTAATGGTGCGTGTGTATTACTTGAAGAGTGTGAGTGATACAACGTTTTCTTTCTGTTTACATAGCACAGGGTCACGAGTACGAATGTACACAGCTTCCAACACCTGCAATTGCTTGAAGAAACGTGCGCAACGAATAACACTAAACCAGGAATCGTCAAACACCTTACGACATTCTGGACTGGACACCAAATGCTTGTACACTGCAGACTTCCTCTTGTCAACATCAAACTCCTCCTCATCACTACTCTCATCCTCCACCTCCATTCCAATGCCGCCGTCCATCCCATCGCACTCGTATTCGTCGTCATCAGTCTCCATCTCCTCGCGACACCGCTTCCCTCTCCTTGATTCGTTCTGTCGCGTGCCTGTGCTTCCTCCTGCGTCTCCTTGCCTTGTGTTCTCCACTTGTCTCAGTCGTGCCTCTGCTAGTCTCTTGCTTCTCCTCGGTTCTGCTCTGTTTTCAAGTTGTTCCCCTTCCGCTCTTACCGTTGTAGCAACATGGTTTGTCAAGGAGCGACCGTCCGGCGGCCTCCCTTGCCGTGGTCCGGTTTCCGAGGGGGGAACCAGATCAGTCTGCTCGTTCTCCATGGAAGTAGTCGGTGTTTCTGTTTCCGAATTGTGAGCCGTGCTAGGTGTAGAAATAGGCAGCGGATGTTTTCGTGGTCTCCCACGCTTCGGCCTGCTTAATCTGGCAGCCTGGGACAACAATGATAATGGGACGTGCTGCTTGATGCGTTCGGACAAGTGTTGAAGCGTCCTCCCGTTATCATTGTTGTCCCAGGCTGCCAGGTTAAGGGGGCAGGCAGCCTACCCATAAATTTCATATGGCATTCAATTGACCGTAACTTTGATGTTTCTTAATGGATTTGAGTGAAATTTTGACCACACACTCCTGCCACTATGCTGGCCCTCAGGACATGATTTACAAGTTCTTGCGCCTCACTGACAGGCTTTCCAGGCCGGAAAAACTCAAATTTCCGGCATAGTGCCACGGTGTGCGAGCCACCCAGGAGCCAAACAAATGCATTTACAATTTTTTTTCACATTTTCGTGCTCATTCTGTTCGTGCGCGGGACTCAAACCTAGAACAAGTCCAGAAGCAGCCATGGGTGATGGGGTAGGGCCCCTCAACGAGGCCCTGGAATCTGTCACAACGGAACGAGTGGGCGTTCTCTCACACACTCCCACAGACCCAAGTCGATTTTTGAATTTTTTTAGGTTTAGGGTGTGCTACGAGGTCGTACCTTTGATACAACATCCAGTGCTGGGACCTCCACAGCAAGCCATTTCCACAGCGCTGCACACCAAATCCAGGATACCCTCAGAAACCGGCAAAGACTACCATTCACGTTTCACTACTGCCTAGTACTGAATCCTACCTGACTTCTTGACACGACTCAAACTTGCCAAAGTCACTAAATCAATGTCAACTACAATAATCAAGCCACATATCTGCAACGTCACGAGGGTGCTGGCAAAAGTCCTGCTGCACGGCGGCGGGCGAACTTGGAGCAAAATTCTGCACACTTTCACGTGTTTCCATGATACGACAAGTTGCGCACGGTCTGCTCACATTCAAATACAGTGCTGCCAACAAATGACAGCGTGCAACAAAAAAATCTTTCCTTGCAAGGGCAAATTTTCGGCCATAACTCTTGAACGGCCGGTCAGATCGGGACACAATTTTCAGAGAATTTGCAGCTATTCATGCTCTTTCAACTGACGTAGCGCTCAATATGAATTTACAAACTCGATTTTTCAGCGAATTTTTGGGTAGTCTGTGCCACCTTAAGCAGGCCGAAGCGTGGGAGACCACGAAAACATCCGCTGCCTATTTCTACACCTAGCACGGCTCACAATTCGGAAACAGAAACACCGACTACTTCCATGGAGAACGAGCAGACTAATCTGGTTCCCCCCTCGGAAACCGGACCACGGCAAGGGAGGCCGCCGGACGGTCGCTCCTTGACAAACCA